CAAAGGGACTACTAATTCCAGTTCGTTATAACCGTAGTTCGTTATAAGTACATATACAGCATGACTACAGCAAGTAGTCGGGACCAAAAAGTAAGTTCGTTATATCCGTCAGTTCGTTATAAGCGTGTTCGTTATAACCGTAGTTTACTGTATATAACTGGGCTTGGCGTGACGTGAAAAATGGATTTACTTTTTTCAAGACTGGTAAAGCACCTTTAAAATGTAGCAACAGTATCACTCCTGATTGCACCAAGACTGCGTGCTTGCACGGAGAACGCTCTATCTCGGGGGGACTGCTGGTATATGAATCAACATGCAAACGGTATAGACTGATGGAGTTTTTCCTCCTCCCTCCCGTTACGAGACCACCCAAGATGCTTATTCCTCTAGTGACAAATTTGTAGCGGACTAGGCATGTTGTATAAGTCTCCGCTCTCCTAAACCCGACACAATGTCACATTGCTCTATAAAGCAATCATGTTATCCTCTGGTACAAAACAATGATAGTTTTTTTTATCCCCTGGATGTTTTTTATTCCTTCCCTCAACCATGCGTCGGAGGGAAGGAGGGAGAATTATGAGATATTATAAAACAACTATGAGAAACCTTATCGAGTTAATGCTCGGGGTATTGCAGTTACATACTGTCCGTAGATAGTAGAACACAACACGAATCTAATCGTATCCCAAGTGGCGCTATGTCGCGTGTGTTACTTTAATGCACATACATCTAACGACCCTCTCTCCTCGCATGTATATATCCAAGGTGTAGATAACAAACGATGCACTTTGTGGAGTTTTTGCACCACTAGTTTTCTATTCCTGGTTGTTCATTTCACCTCGATTGCATGTATATGTCACTGTGGCTGTTGCTTTTGAAAACGATGTACTGCACTTATCTGTTTGTAAAAGACAAGATACGTTTACCTGCTTGTAATGACGGGAGCTGGAATTGATCCTGGTGAAATCTTTAGTCCGCAAAACCTTTCTTGGCTTAGTTATCTTATAAGAACATATGTTTTGAAAGTAACATTTGATCGATGATTTTAATCTGCTATTTCCCGGCAATGCAGAATGACCGTTGTTGTTGACATACGTATCATGATGACTGAAAATTATTTCAATACACATATCTTTACAATCATGTAATTATAAATCCACCTGCGTGAATATCAAACTATAAAATTAATTTAAACTAACAGTAATTATAACCAGACAGGTCATTAAAACTTGTTTTAACAAAATGACATGTCCTTATCGTATTGATAAAATCATATTATCATACTAAATATATGAATGAAATTATGAATTCAGCATAACGTAAATTATAAATCATATCTCATATACCATGGCTATCAAATTTATTTATATTTTATCATTTCCGATAATATGCCGTATCAACAACAACAACAATCAATCAATCAATCAATCAATCAATCAATCAATCCTCGTTGATAACAATATGTTAATTGTATATGGGGCATTACTTTGTATATTTATTTTTGTCATTTGATTATGCATATGAAAATAAGTATGTACAAAATAAGTTAATAACAATCATTTTAAAGGGCTCGTTAAATCATTTATAATCTATTAAACTAAAATCAAACATATAAAAACCGTACAAATAATCAATAGTAATTGTTGATAATTACAAACCGAACGCATATTGTAGGCAACAAAAATAAGTTAAGTGTCTCTCATATCCACCTCGAAAAGTTGAATGACGCTAAGCTGCCAGGCAAAGGAAAGTACACACTTGAAAACTGGATCGGACCAAAACATTGCAAACGTTATCAAAACGTTACTAAGCTGAAAACAGTCGCGAAACACTGCAAAACCCAACCGTATCATTTCTTGTTTGTTTTCATTTCAAGGATAGGTTATAGTTTCTTTTGCAGTTTAAATATTGACCTAAAGCGACAGTGTCTATTTTGTTCCCAATTGAACTGTTTCCCTGATTGACCCAGTGCAGTAACAAACTGAAATCCGGGAATATTTATTTTCATTCATTTAAGTGTTAAATTCTGCTTCAATTGTGGTAGCAACCAAGACAAAGCAAACTGGCGAATTCAAATGCAGACACATTTTATCAAAAATCTATAAGAAACAGATTCCACAGAATTCTCAAACAACCTTACATTACTTATTTTATTTATACACATATAAATAGTGGAACGCGATACTGAGAATACATCACTAAACTAAACACTCGTTAGTATTGCTTTAAGTACATGTACATGTACGTCTCTGATATAGACTCGGTAAAGTTTGACTTGCTGTAAAGTAACATTGGGTAACAACACATTGTACCACCATCTTAAACCTTAACTTACCTGTTTAAATTTGAAAACCACCAGACAATATACTGCTCAGATCAGTCAAGCCGCCAAGCCCATCTTATGTCAGAAAATAATTACGTTGGTTTACTGTATAAGGAGCTGCTGAAGTGTAATGCCCCGCATCACTATGTTTCTATAACTAACGCTAAAGAGGGTTCTTTGAAGGAGAAAATATATTCTAACAATTCTACAGATGGTCTTTTAGGAAGTTGTCGCTACAGTGATGTTTTGTGGAAGATGAAGAGACGCTACGCATAAATGAGTAATGAGTTTCAAGCATATTTACTTCAGTTTTTTCCTTCTTTAAGTGGAAGGGAGTTAACACCGGTATGCTCCATTGACTTTAACCATGTTGTGTTATATCCCGAAAAGGGTTTAAATTATTCGAATAAACGTTTCAGTTTGATAACACACGTGTTTACACAAACAACAGCTATCAGGTAGATAATCTCCTGGGTATAATGAAAAGTAATTTATGATAATACTACCACATTATCAAACAGGGTATATATATATATATATATATATATATATATATATATATATATATATATATACACCGCTAGACAGACAAGATAGATAAATACTTGGATTAACAGCTTACAAATATTACAAAATATCAACATTTTGTGAATTTCAAAACTGAAACAGGTTCTTTTGTGGTTATTACTTAATCAATATTGCTTTGAAGCAGACAAGTTATCATATAAAAATTGATAATTTACCTAACATATATATTATTAAACTGCCGGGCAAAAGAAAGTATACAATTAAACATTGGATTTGACTAAAAAAATATTAAAAATTTATCAAAATATTGCCAGGCTAAAATGGTGAGAGAAACACTGCAAACTTAAGGTCCAAAACATAACTATCAAACACGTCACCATCAAATCCCTACGTCTTATGTTTTTCAAATCAGCCACTGTCAAACACCGGTGTATACTTTGCCCGGCAGATTATTAAGGGTGTTTTCATAATGTGTCTACATAAGTATTTTTGTATAATATGCATGCATATGCATTGTATTAATCACCTATATACATATATACTACATGCAACTGATCACACTGACTATGTAATAATTTCCTGTATAATTCTTAGTTGAAGTAGGGAGCATAATATCCGTTGAAGTGGTATTGGTCGTATGATTGTCATAGAGATCTGTGTCAACACAACACGTGTCATAGATTGACCTCCATCTCAACTCACAACAAACACATGCATATTTGACAGCAAGACTAGATATGATGAATATTATTAAAATAGTATTTAAAATTAAATATTTGATTTTAAACTAATATTCATATGTTAATGAGACACCATTAAAGAGGCGGATTGTGTGTAAACGGGCATCAAAAGAACACTTACCGTTTCAAGCAACAAAAACACACATCATAATATCCGCCGCCACTTCGAAACAATATCCTAAAAGCTTACTTTTATTTAAATTTGAATTTAACTACAGAATGATCATAACTGTAACGAAAAAAGATTTAATGAAAGATGTTAACAATAAACTTGACACATATCTCCTTGTAGGCTCCGAAACGCCACCATGGAAATCGAAAAGAATTTGCATAATTAAAGACATTTTATGCGCAGAGCGTGGCAGCCCGTGAAGAATATAAAACACAACTTAATCAAAAGGTTGTGAGAGAAAGAACGAAAAAGTAATTAATTTTGTAAAAAGGGTAACACCGAAAAAATCAATACTTTACAACTTTGTCACCAGAATGTCACATGAAGAAATTACCTGGGTAAAATCCCTTATTGAACCCGACCCAACTCAAACTCGGGAGTGTAAAACATAACACTTTCCCCTTGAGAGGGTGATAACTGATCACTGATAAACTGAATTGTACAAACAGGGTATATGCGACATTTCAGTCATTTATTTTCACTGACACGAGTCATGTGTGATATTTGAAAGGCGGGTCCTTCAGATAAGGGATTTTATGTCATTTGAATAACACCAGGATCTGGCTTTCGAGCGAGGTAGCCATTTTAAACGCTTTAAGTGTAGCCATAGCAACTCCAATGTCATCGGCCAGGCTGTGTTAAAACTTCTGGTGATAGAAATATGTAATAAAGGATTAATACAGGAATTATTACAACACGATTGGGTTAATTGTTTGTGCGATGTGTTGAGTAAATATCATACAATTGGGACAAATTTTAATACGATTGTGCGGTTTTAACGAATTTTGACCCCTATCAATTTTCTTCTCGTTTGTTAAAAGATTTTCGTTCAAATTTGACATTTTTCTATTCGGAGTTTCGTTTTAACACAATTTCCAACCCTCTGGCAAAATTACTAAGCAATACGGAACAGATCTGCCGTTCCACTTTAGATGCGAAAAGTGATTAGGAAATTGGATCTTATCTTCACAACATGTTGTAGAATTTTGTTTGTTCGATCTTAAACGACCAACACGTGTAGCTGAAGCCAGCGCCGTCACGCTGCTATAGCAAACCTCAAACACAACGCCTAATCATTTTCTTATCCTCAAATCCCTCAGCCAATAACACCTTACCTAAACCAGCAGACAGTTCGAATAAGCCCCGCCCCTCAACCAATCAGAACGCACGATACGCACGACAGGACTCGCCTCCGGCGGTACAAGGTGTTATGAATTACAGGTCCCAGTGATTGACAGATCAGTGTGTAAGTCGGCCCGAGTTAGAACTGTCAGAGACGTGTACATTTCTCAAACGACGACGTACTATCGCCGAGCGAACACACACTTACCTTCATTTTCTGTGAGCGTAAACATCCAAGGTGACGGAAGACAAGTCATTCGATGCCAACATGTTGGACTACTGTGCCAACGATGTGTCGGGGAACGGGTACCCAACCTCAAACCCCTCTATGGCATCAATTCTAAACATGAGCGGTTCTATGGACACCTCCAGACAGAATTCCTTCGTCCTAAGCAGTCCCCCTTTAGCGGCGTTACATAATTTAACCGAGATGAAGTTCCCTTCATCACAACAGTTAACAGACTATCAACAAAATGCGTTCAAGCATTTGGCTGCGAACTCAACACCACATGGGATTAATGACATTCTAAGCCGTCCCTTGCCAGGCAATCCACTCGGAATACCCCGGATTAATCCACAGATGTACCTTAGCCCACAAGTACGGTTTCCAAAAATCGCAGAATTGCCAGGTAGACAACCAATCTACTGGCCGGGTGTGCTTCCGCAGCCTTGGAGACCGTCGCCAGGTAAATATGAAAGGGGCTCAGATATGTTCATAAAAAAAGTTATCTTGCTTGAACGCAGTCATGTGGGTAACATTTTTGTCGTAACTGCACCTTCTAAACTCCTCAGCTTTTGAAAAGAACGTACAGATGAAAAGTTAACTCTCTTTTATGACTTTTCGAGTTGATTTAAATTCTCTATTGAATTATGTGTTTCTGTTTTTTTAGGTTATTATAACTGTAATAAGAGACACATATCCAATCTAACTGTAAATTACCAGGAACGTGTGGTTGAATAAGATTTAATTCTTAATTTATTTTTTTTTAAATATTTTTTCAATAATACTGACCTTACCTCATTATTAAAGGATTGAGTAACTGTACACTGAATGTGTGTAGCCAATCTATCCTAAATAATTAAAAAATGTTCTTTTTCACTTCTTCAAAGATAAGCGATAGGTTCTTATGTGAATAAAATACATTTGTTAAATAGTATCAAAGTGATGAATAAAACACCGTGCTCTTGTTACATCTATCATGTAACAAATCGACTTACATTAGACGTTAACTATGTCATCAATGTTACACTCCCTACCGGGACGTCCCAAGGCGCTAATATCATCTTGTGCCTGTATTCTTTTTCTCAACAAAAGTTTTCGTCATTTTAAATAATCATTTTTCCTAAAGAACAATTATAATATACTTAAGTGTGGCGAAATCACATTTCAATATGCCTGTGTGAATAATAGGAGGTTAAATAAATAATTTAAACAACAGATCGAGTACAATTAACATATCATCATATCCCACGCTGGACCATTATCCTGTTAAAATCATGTTGCCTTATTTTCAAAACAGGTCTGTGCATTTAGTGATGTTAAAACACTTATCACAAATGTATATACCATTCTGTATGGTAGATCTACCACCTGGTTAGCGTTTTGTTTAAGCACTTAAAAACTGACCGGAAAATATATATGTCACATCCTAATTACCTAATGACAAAATAACAGCCTTGTTATCTCATTTAAAGTACTTAGCTCTTTCGATATCTAACCATGCATTTCTGCTCGAACGCGCAATGCTGGGGGTCTCTGTATACCAACCGGGAAGTTTTTTGAAAACTTTTTAATGTTTTTTGGGTGCGGTGCTTGTGTGGTTGCCGTGTAACGTTATCTGGCCGTAGGGGGTTGGGCCATCATTGTATATTTTTTATGTATATCCCCTCCCAAGAAAAGGGGGTAAGTGTTCACACATTTTGAACTTATGTTGGTAGCATTCTCGCAATGGAAAAGGGTTTGTAGAGTAACTGATCTTGGGAAGAAACATATATACTTCTATCATTGATACATTCTGATTAAATAATCTTAAATTCTTTTCTGGACATACGGCTTTCTATTTCTACTCCTACATAAAAATACTGTATAATATACTCGTCAGTGCAGTCATTCACGATACAGGTTACAGTCATTCCATTAACTATGAAAATAGTTGGTTTTGTGTCTTTATATTGATGTTAATAATAATAATAATAATAATAAGGTTTATAATATTTTATATATAGAATATATTAGAATAAGTTGCAGGTGTGGATTGTCAAACACATCTATTCTTCATAGATAACACCAGTCAATAGATAACACTCTAATTCTGATCACTAAGTACATTACAGCCATAGATAAGTAATTGGATAAAATACAAGTTGAATATTTTAAAAGAATATTCATGTACATTTCACTGACATTCTAATCAGGAAATGAGAGTTGTTTTCGTGTACTAGACTTTCTTTCGAAATAAACCACGAATGTGATTTGTTTAGATACTGTTGAAAAACGGAATTAACAATAAAACAAAATTCCTTGGGAGTTAGGGATTTATATACCATTAAACACCGATAGAGAAAAATACATGGCGAATATTGCAATATTTTTTTCAAAACAAACGCTAACAACGCACGTGACAAATGATGGAACGTAGGCAAAATAATCTTGATTGACAGCTGCCGACATCAGTCCGCTCTGATTTTGACAGTAACCCGATTATATGGTGCACGCAATCGATGCCCAATAACAAGATATCGATAATATCCTAAATGATGACAGGACTAAAATCAGAGCGGAGGGGGTGAGGGAGGGGGAATAGTCTTCGTATCACGCAATTAACTGGTTAAAGATGACACCCGCTAATTGTTAGAAACCGGAGTGATAGCAATCGACACGGTTGTACATTTCAGCTTGTTCATAGCATGTGGTATCCATAGCGGATGTGTTCGTGCAATGTAACGTCCTTGTATATAGCAGAAAGGGATTTCGGGGCCCAGTGAACATGACAACTTCACATTGTCCACACATGTTCCAAATTAAGGGACAAAATTGGCCCCCGGCAAACGCACCAGAGATGTACATATCCTTATGTTCCTTTCGCTACAGACGCGTGGTGGTGGGATAAAAAACGATGCAGATCTCAAGATAAGGTTATATTGCAATTTCACGGTTATGTACAGCTTATACAAATTTTGAATTACTGTTTTGAATGAATGAGATGTTGTCTATTGAATATAACATATCCGAAATACAGATTCCAATCTACTTTTCATTCATTTCAAACCCTCAACAGCTTCTTGAGGAGAAGGGAAAAGAAATATTCTAAACATTAAAATACATTTACTCTCTTCCCCAGTGTCTTAATCTATGGACTAACACGAACACTATATACACAAGTAGTCGCTCTTACATCTGTTAAAATTAAAATAGGCACATGTTATGTTCATAAACAAGTATTATTTTTTAATCTCGCTACATACACTGTATGATCCCGACACAAGGGTATCATTTATGTAATAACCTAAAAATAGAAGTTATAAGTAGCAAACAATTTTCAAAATACACACGTAAGCAAATTGTTGCAAAGAGAGGACTATATTTCATATTTTATTGAACTTTTCATGTTTTACATTGCCTTCTTTGCGATACATTTGACTGATGTGGTGGCATTCATATAACGCCGCCCCAATATTTCATTTCCCATGTCTTGTTCATTAATTTACCACTTCGTCATTTGTCCTAACCCGCCTTTTTTTCGTTCCCCACGAAGGCTCCTGTGCACGTTTTACAGCCAACTCATCCAATGTAATTGTCGACAAGGATGGAAAGAAGAAGCATACAAGACCAACCTTTTCTGGACAACAAATCTTTGCACTTGAAAAAACTTTTGAACAAACCAAATATTTGGCGGGACCTGAACGGGCGAGGCTAGCGTATGCATTGGGAATGTCAGAGAGTCAAGTTAAGGTGAGTGAAATTTGTTTACACTTCTGGTTTATTTTTATTTTTTTAGTTATTCTTTCTGCATCTCTACTTTCTAACACTTAGCATCGGTAAACTATTTTTCTTTCCTTGTAAGCAAGCGAAACGAATTTCTACTCTTGAATTTATTTCTGAGTTCTTTATTTCTGAGTTTAGAACTTAAATAACAATTGCATTGACATTTTGTTTAGATTGGATTAAACCCATGGCGCATCAATAACCCAAAATAAGGATTGAAAACATTTAAATATAACAACATATCCAGTAGACCATGTTCAATTTGCAAGGGAAAATACTAAATACAGAGGCGATTTAATTCCTAATCACAGGGCAACTCTCCAACAATGGCAGTCAAAACTTAATGTAACAAAATGTGAATTCATATTCTTTTCTATAATAATAAGTGATCATATTTAATCCCATACGAATTGTTAATTACGGAAAACAATGAATACAAATTTAAATCTAAAACAATAAAACTCATGTAAAATGTTTCCCTGCCTGCGAGTGGGGGACATAAGCTGTTATTATCGCTGACAGTCGGAGGTGACTGATAGCCGTGAAATCATGAGGCCGAAGACGAAACAATTAAAGTTAATCCGCCAAATGTCGTCCGACAAATGAGGCGTAAGGCAACCAAACCGTCTGGTGACGATTGCACTTGAAACGGATTTCAGTTAAGAAATCCGATCGTGTCCATATCATTTTGCTTAATTTATTTGTTGAAAAAACATATCGGTTTATCCGCCACCATCCGCAATCTATGTTTGTGATATGGCCAAGTGGGTGTACTATCGAATTACATTGTGACAGATCTTTGATCTTTATTGACATGTTTGTCGATGAATTAGGCATATAATCAACAACACTGTATACAGTTTGTCAATTTCGATTGCTGTGCATGTTTACAAAGCGGCCAGCGATTTCAGGCAAGGGTAACTTTGTTGTGGTAGTATGCGAATCATTGATTATATTCGCAGGTGCGCGTTTGTCCAATGACTTCAATAGAAACATGGTTTCAAATTTTATTGAATAGATCTAAAGTTTATTAAATAAATAAATCAAATTATGAAATAATAACAATAAAGTGCATAACACATAAACATGATACATAAATAAATATATAATTTAAATAAATAATTGTATAAATCAATAAAATTGTATATCTTTGCAAACAACATTTTAGTCCACAGGCTTATCAATAAGATATAGCAGCCACTCGTGCAATCCGTGTATCTAATTTGTTTCCGATTATTGCTTTGGGGGTGTTAATTGGCCGCTGTGTGCCCCCAGGCGGTTTGTCAATCAAGCTCATGTCTGTTTAGACCATAGTTTTGATGGCTCAATTCCGGTGTTGGCTTGTCCCAATGAGCTTCGGTCACCTTCTTCAGAATCTTCTGACAAGTGATGGTGGTGGAACTGTTCGAAGCAGGGTTCGTGAACAGTCGGTCTAACCCTCTACTGAATACCTTGTCAATCATATTAGGCCCATGTGCCCGATCTGTTCATATCTGTCTTGAATAAGCCTGTCAGTTCGGTTTGGTACCAGTGGATTATGATAAATATATACATTGTGGGTTCTTTGTGGTTTGGGAAACCCTCAGAAAGTGTCATATGGCGCGTACTTAAGAATGGTCAGACGCATTATTCTCACAGACCGCTTCCAACAAAACCGTGGACCCGACAGCGCAATGATGGCAAATATGTGCATACATTTCCAGTGTCTTGTTACATGAACAGCTATTCGTTTATGATGTTAAAATGTGTAACTTTGATGAAACTTCTGGGCGTCCACATTAGCATTGTGTCGTGGGATAAGGATAATGTACACACTACTTACTAAAACCATTTCGGGCGTCTATGACAGTGAATCATGTATGGGTTTGCAGCAACAGCTGATTATATTAACATTTCACAAACCAGTAATCAAAATAGCATTTACATCACACGATGAGCAATTATTCAGAGATGGTAAATCACTATAAGCCTCGACTAGGTTTTTAATCTTTCAAAAACGTTTATTTATACCCGTTTATGGTAAATTCCAGTTCATTACACAAGTGTCACTTTATGTCACATAAAGCATAATTATCCTAATGAGATTTAATCTACTATTATGGGGAAAATATCAGTCTATTGGGATTATGCAAACCGAGCTGTGTCGCGATATATTTCCTCTTTTTTAGAAACTTCATGACCAAAGCCGGCGTGTTTAAAACGTGTATATTTCGCATAAATGAGTTGGGCTTCTATAACGGCTGCGCCACGGGAGATCTATCGAGTTAATATCTCTATTGAAATTGAGCTCGGGTGGCGGAGGGGAGCGCTTCAGACTGTAATCCTATTCCTTTGGTAGTCGGCTGACAATTCGCCCAGTCGGTTCTCACATCGCGAGATCCCGCTGCGCTTCGCGAGATCCCACTGAGATCTCGACTCGAGGGACACCATCACAAAAAAAGGTAGTTGACTTTTCAGAAAGGCACAGCGTGGCCTCTATTTAATGACTTCTCTCTGCATTACGATACATTTGCCCTGTGCCTGTGTCATCATTTCGCGCCATTACAGATGAAAGGGGGACATGTTAACTTAGCGTAAACAGCTATCATCTTTGGAGGGGGTTGATGGGAAATGTGGATGTCCACTCCATAATAACTCCCATGATGCCTTCAACTTGGAGATGCTAAAGCAGCCAAGTGGAAAAAGCTTGTCAGTGTATTTCAGGGCTCATTTTTTTATGAATAAAATTCACTCTTTGAAATTGACACTTGTGAATTTTTAAACAGTCTATAATGCCTATTGAAACTTCAAGTATCTGCGCTTGTTTGACGATATCTTAATCTAGTTTGTATCAACCTCCACTGTGAATGACATGGGGTTTATGAAATATACAAGTCGCTTAATAGCAACTGTTTGCGTAACTTTGATCAGATCGTATCAATTTATGCCAAACCGTGGTATATCCGCTCACATATTTCGTTGATATAAACGTAAACAAATCAAAGTTTATCCGTTTGATCATGTAATCATTTCACTACAAGTGTAATAAACCTCATCACAAAGACTTATACACACAGCGGTGGGTGCGCTGTTGACTTCGAAGTCTGAATAGAAACGGAAGTGCACACTTGGAATGTGGATTACGAACGACTCGCGTGATGTCACTTTGACAGACGCGTAGATTTTTATCAACTCATGCCTTGTCCGAAAGGATATCAGCAAATGCGGAAATTGTACAATTTGGCGATTGCCTTGGGTTTTGGGGGTATTTAAACAGAAAAAAAACGGTTCATATAAACACAGTATATTTTCAATGGTAACATTTTTTTAAACAAATACAAGCGACACGTCGTCACATGCAGCACGTGCAACAAAAGATAAACTGGATTTTCTGGTAATAAACTGCAACGTACATCAATAAGAAATCACACGGAAATGCTGTTTTATTTCAAAGCTATGGAAAATGTTTCCACATACATGGTATTTAAGAAATAATTTCTCATATAAATTGCAGCAGTCTGTAAAAATAAAGAAATATGCCCCAAAGAAATATGTTGCCTTCTGCTCAAAGAATCAGAGAAAAATCAAGCCTTTTGATACAAATATACAAAAGGTAATTGACGCGATATGCCTTCTCTCCAGGGATATTTAAGAACGAGTGGTTCTAATTACAGGGAAAGGGTCGTTTTGTAGCTAGAACCTCATCTCAATCTCCTATAGTTGAATTTCTAGTATAAATAAACTCATTCTTTCCTAGTTCAAAGCAGCTTTGCCAAGGGGGATGACTGGAACACGAGGACCTCAGAAGACTCCATTGATATTAAAGATCCGTCAACCTCACAACTGCAAATGATAATATAGTTTGTGAAATAGTTTCTGGATGAGGGAATAACGAATTATTTTCAAAACAAATTCACCATTCTGGCTTAGTCGGCATCTTCGTTTGATGCATTTCTTAGTAAATAAGATTGAATCGACGATACTTCATACAATTATTGTGCAACACTACGTATAAGGAATGGGTAATTATCACACGCAACTTCGGGACCATTTACGATACTTAGTGAATGGTACACTGTATCTATCTCGCAAACACCATGCAATATTACCTTACACATTCGTCAAAAGTAGGGACCTTCAAAGGGGACAAAAATGACTTCTCCTGTTGAACACTTCAAGCTATTTACGTTCAAGACGAAGCTGTAATCTATTTACCTGTTTAGTTGTCCATTGTTGCTCTTTTTCATTTATTCGCTTTGATCTCGCCGCTTCTACTTATCACATTAATTTCTTTATCTCGTATCTTTGTAGTTGTATCAATGTTCTCTAAACCGAGCCGATCCTACCTTTAGTCAATTAATGCCGCTAATCTGTGACTTTAAACGCCTTACCTGTTCCCTGACAATAGAGTGTTATTGATGATATGATTAGCAAGGTAAGTTGACGGCGATCATCACTACAGGTGTCGGAACACACCTGAAGCTTTAACTCATTGATCATGTCAATTACACCCGGAGATTGTCGATAACGTTTGTAAACAGCAAGTTAGCACAACAAACTGGCTCGAAACGCTGTTATTTGCAGGTGTAATTTCAAATGAATTTATAACAAAGACGGCGCAAGTAAATATTCTGCAATAGGGTTAATATGTTGCAGAACCGAACGGATAAACTTATGCCCCTTTTGCGTCATTAAATACATGTACATATGGTAATGTTTTCATTTCATTTCATGAACCGTCATGAATTAATTATATGTGAAAGACGAGGGGTCGGAATTTCAAGTGAAATAAACAAAGAATTAATACCCACATCTGTTTATGTAATTACAGTGTTAAATGTTACAGGATATTGTCGCTGTTACAATCACAGTACCAGCGAAATAAGAATACTGATATGAATAAAGATTGGCACACAGAGGTTCTTGTCATTCTAATGTTTCTGTAATTCCGTCAAATTAACCCATTCTGTCACGAATGAGCGAATGTC